AACCATGGGTAAAATGTGAGGGGGGTGTAAATTTAAGCGAGAGAAGATAGGGATGAGAGAAAATAGGTTAATGGAGATAAAATAGAAAAGTCAATCGTTTATCTTTTTTTTAGTCTATTTAAAGGGATCTATTTATTAGTATATTTAAAGGGATATTTCCCTTCATTGTGAAGGTAGTGAATGAGTTAATAAAATTTTGTCCCGTATGATCGTTGGGGTAAAATTTTGAGCTAATCCTACTTCGGCTAAGGATGATCAAGCTAATCCTACTTCGGCTATGGATGATCATTGGGGTGAAACGTTGGAGTGAAATTTTAACTAGAGTTTACAATGCCATCAAAAGTGAATCAAGCTAATCCTAAGCAAATCAAGCTAATCCTACTCCGGTTATGGATGATCGTTCGGAGTGAAATTTTAACTAAAGCGCTAGATGATTTTCGAACTGAAGTACCTGAGATGAATCTCCTCGAACTGAACTGAGATGAATCAGGTGATGAATCAGAAGATCCAACGGAGGCTGCAACGGTTGGAGAATAACCTTCCTCGTGATTCATCGAATTAAGTACCATAGAGAACTGAAGTACCTGAGATGAATCAGGAGATTAATCAGAAGATACAACGGAGGCTACCGCGGTTGGAGAATAACCTTCCTCGTGATTCATCAAACTAAGTACCTGAGATGAATCAGAAGATCCAACAGAGGCTGCAGTGGTTGGAGAATAATCTTCCTCGCGAAGAAGGTGCTTATAGCCACATCCTTCTTGCACTAGTAATTCCACAATAAACCGAGAATGTTGATTTAAAAAATGTTCATCAATTGAATATGGTGCTTCTTTGGAGTTGGATCCATTCCTAGTTAAGAATAATCAACCTAAGCTAGTAGTCGATAATTACTCTTGGAACACATTTGCAGGCAAAAAGTCTTACATCAGTCTTAAAGAAATTGAAAGAAAAATACCGAGGCTCATGGTGGACTTCGATAAGCTCGAGGCCGAGCTTCTCCCAACCCCATGGTGGGACTTCGATAAGCTCGAGGCCGAGCTTCTCCCAACCCCATGGTGGGACTTCGATAAGCTCGAGGCCGAGCTTCTCCCAACCCCAGGAGAATGATGCAACGAAAAAAAAAAGAATATTAATTTTTATTATTATTAGGATTCTTGAGTTTATCTTTTAAATTAGGAGGAGGAGGTTGAGTTTCTCCCAACCCCAGGAGAATGATGCAGTGAAAATAAATAAATAAATAATAATTTTTATTATTATTAGGAATATTGAGTTTATCTTTTAAATTAGGAGGTAAGAAGGGATAGGTGGGCATTGAGTTTGCGCTTGAGTTAATTTATGGATTGGGTTAATTAGTTTAGGAATGTAATTAGGAGAAGGGGCATTGAGTTTGCACTTGAGTTAATTTATGGATTGGGTTAATTAGTTTAGGAATACAACTAGGATAAGGTTCAATCTGGTTAGTTTAGGAGTTTGCACTTGAGTTAATTTATGGATTGGGTTAATTAGTTTAGGAATATAATTAGGATAAGGTTAAATTTGGTTAGTTTAGGAGTATAAATATGGTAAGGTTAAAACATGGGGGTTTATCTTTCAACAAGGAGTAAAACAACGTGGGTGGTACGTGAATTTAAGCTAGAGAAGATAGGGATGAGAGTGAATTTAAGTGATAAAATAGGTTAAGGGAGATAAAATAGGATAGGGATGAGAGTGAGTTTAAGCGATAAAATAGGTTAAGGGTGATAAAATAGGAAATTCAGTTAAATAGGAAATTCATTTCTTAAAATAGGTTAAGGGTGATAAAATAGAAAATTTAGTTAAATAGGAAATTCAGTTGTTTATCTTCTTTTGTTAGTGTGTTAAATAGGAAATTCAGTTGTTTATCTTTTTTCTTTTTTTTAAGGGAGATAAAATAGGAAATTCAGTTGTTTATCTTCTTTTCTTTTTTTAAGGGAGATAAAATAGGAAATTCAGTTAATTAGGAAATTCAGTTGTTTATCTTCTTTTGTTAGTCTCTTAAATAGGAAGTTTAGTTGTTGATCTTCTTTTCTTTTTTTAGTCTATTTAAAGGGATGGATGTTTCCTTTCATGTGAATGAGTTAATAAAATTTGATCTATATGAAAAGATTATTTTGAGATAGAGATTATTTTGAGATAGATTCTCTAGCAGACCTTGGTGTTTACTTTTCTCCCCGCATCATAATGTTATAAGATGGACATAGAAACATCGAACCACATGCTCAAATGCATGACTAGAGAACCTCTAAAGACTTTTCCAGGGCTAATTCTCCGTACCTGAATCAAAACCAATATTCCAAAATCCATCATAAGCTGGAGGAGCATAGGAATACCGATACCTCAACCCCACATCTCTGTGCTCACATCGTTCATTATCACCATAACCATTTAGAAGAGCATCAAAGAACTTCTTACACTGGTTGTGAATTTCTGAGTCTCATCCTAATCTGAAATGTCAAAATCAATGTCACTCAGTTGCAACTGCAATCTATTCAATCATATGAACCATTACTGATGTCAAGAAAATCATCATGTGGATCACCTTCTTCCTTTAATTCTTGGCAGGCCCAAGAATCTCTCCAAGGGTTGTTTGCGCACTTCACACTGGAATGGGTTCAATCTTTGAAGTGGAGGGGTGCTTTTGAGCTTTGAAGTCAGAGTTTTCTGAGAAAAAACACTGATATCCAGGCACGGTGTTTGCGCACTACACACCAGAATGGGTCCGACCTTGAAATTAAGGGGGGCTTTGGAGTCTTGAAATCTGAGTTTTCTGAGGCAACAACTGATATCTTCTAAAATCCAGGCACCAATCATGTATTCATTAAATGAGACTTTCAACAAAAGACAATCTGTGAATATTTTACTTTGTTCTGAATTAACAAAACAGTTTGGCCATTTACAAAAATTTTCAATTCTTTTTCAGTAAATGTGCGGATCATTGGTAAAAGAAGAGGTTTGAATCAACAGATGTTATAGTTTCGCCTCCTCCCCACCCGCTTTCCTACTCCCTTGCTCTTGGTTGCGTGACTGACTAACTCTTACTTAATGGATACTGGGAGTTGACTCCTATTGAAACGGTCGCCCCTGATCTCTTGCCCTCCCCTTGATCTCTTTCTCCCCTCAACCTCAACTCAACTCGACAATAGCATAAGCTTCACTCCTTGTTCAGCTTGACTCTCCCTTGCCCCTTGCTTGAATCTCGAATTGCCCCCTCACTTATGACACTCGTTGGCATAGAGGTAAGCAAATCCATATCAAAGAGAACCAGCAAATTAAATTGCAGTTTATATCTATAGCACGTGATGAACCAACTGTTCATCAAGAACGTTCAAATGCATCTCTCTCTCTCTCTCTCTCTGATGTTTCATATGAAAAGAAACTAACAGAAACTGAATCAGATTAATATTTTTGATAAGTAACCAAATTAGCTTTTAAGTTTTCATGTTTCTGAGGATGTATAGATGATTCATCTCTTCCTCCATTTTGTTCGAGGGCCTGGCCTCTTGTCCAATGAAAAGACTGAGTTTGCAACGAAAAAACGGTTAAGTTGATATAGCCTGAGTTTCTGAAGTACACATTCCTTCTCTCCTCTCATTTATCAGCTTGCTATCATCCAATAGCTCTTTAGTCTTTGCTGCAACCATCTAGATACAAATCAATGATCATTCGGTCATAATCTTTTGATCTGATGTCCTTTGTTAACTTTCGGTGCATTTCTTTTAATTGTTTGACTTCCACTTCTTTCAATTTAAGCTTTTCTCGAACCTCTCCACCATTTTCTTGCTTTTCCACTTCTTTCAATTTAGGCTTTTCTCGTACCTCTCCACCATTTTCTTGCTTTTCCAACCTAAATATGAGTGATTTCTCAGTTTTTATCCATTTCTTCCTCTCCATATGACAAAGTTTCACCCAACAGCTCCTCTCTTGCTTAATTTGTTCTTGGGCCTCCTTATCTCTTTACCAAGCCCCTCTTTATGTTCAAGGTCAGCCATGCCTTGTGCTTAATCAGGTGACTCAATCAGGTGACTTCCTCTGTTTTTAGTTGCTGTTTCTGAAGCTCTTCAACCTCTCCACTGTCTCTAGCTTCTCCAATCTTGCCAAAAGTCCACTTTCCTCCTATTCATGAGCCTTTAGCAATTCTTCTTTTTCAGCATCAAGTTTCACTAACAGCTTTGCTTTCTCCTAATGAATTAATTTTGGGCATGTTGTTTTTCATTGCAAAAATCTTCAATTGATATTCACCCAAAAATAAAAAGATATTCAATTGACGGCAGTAAATAGAGTTCTTTATCTCTTCACTCATCTTATGGTAGTAAAGAGCGTTCTTTATCTCTTCACTCATCTTATGAATGTCTGGTGTTTCTAATGTAAATCCATGAAGGCAGTCAAGCATTGATCTCCTTCTAAGAGAAAACTAGGGCAATTTCACATTATGCAAATCTTACTTCATTCAATCTATTATTGGGAGGACCAACTGAGGATATTTTCGTGATTTCGTTAGGGGTTCCAATTTACGAAATGCCCCTCATTATTCCTCCTCAATCTTGTATAAGGTTAATAAATTCTTTATATTTTTTAAAGATGAAAACCCTCACTTGGGTAAAAACCCTATCAAGGTGTAATTTTAGGATGCCATACTTCTGAGAGATAATCCCCTCAATTTAATAACCAACCTCAAATAAAGAAATAAAAATTAAAATCATTTGCCCCAAAAAAAGATATTCTCATATGGAACAAAGAATTTTCTATTCTTGATGGTTGAATCTAAATGTTTAAAATCTCAAAACCTAATGTTTCTTTTGGAAAATATTCATCGAAGATGCAATTTTAGATGGAAAAAATGCACCATGAAAGTACTCTAGAAGGTTGGTTAAACGAGAGTGTAAGTGCACATTGTAATCCCGAGGGAGTACGATATACTCGTTTTATCATATATCTTCGGCCTGTTAAGTAAGTTAAACAGCCAACACTGAGGCTCCATGGCCAAAGGTGGGCACAATGGTTATCCACATAAGAAGGGGTGTCTTAGGAATATTACATAATACAAGGGCATTGAGGTATACACTCAATTTGACCACCACCTCCTTCAAACCCAACTTCCCTCCAAATTCAAATTCAAATACGGTGAACGGTAACTTGGATGAAGCATTGCTTGAGATGAGCATTGGAGGATTCACTGTAAAATTCCATTTCTACGACTCGGTTTTAACAGAGTGCGTGAATAACAAAGCTCTTAATCATGGCAAAAGAGTCCATACCCATATGATAAAAACCTGTTATAGACCCTCTGTTTATCTTGGAACCAGGCTTCTCATCTTTTACACCAAGTGTGATTGTTTGGGAGACGCTCGGTTACTATTTGAACGAATGCCTGAGAGAAATGTGGTTTCTTGGACTGCAATGATTTCCGCTTATTCTCGGAGAGGCCATAGCTCTGAAGCTTTATCTCTCTTTGTAAAGATGTTGGGTGCTGATTTTCAACCAAATGAATTCACTTTTGCCACTGTTCTTACTTGTTGTAATGGCAATTTTGGTTTTGATCATGGAAAGCAAATTCATTCCTTGTTGGTTAAAACCCATTTCAAATCCCATATATTTGTTAGCAGCTCGCTTCTGGATATGTATGCAAAAGCTGGTAAAATCCACGATGCACGTCAAGTTTTTGATGGAATGAAAGATAGGGACATTGTTTCTTGCACAGCAATTATTGCAGGGTATGCTCAGTTGGGGCTCGATGAAGAAGCTTTGAAGCTGTTTCGGCAGTTACAAAAAGAAGGGATGAGACCGAATTATGTAACTTTTACCACTGTTTTAATGGCACTCTCTGGGCTTGCTGCCTTGGAGTATGGCGAGCAGGTTCATGGACAGGTAATTAGAACTGAGCTAGGTTTTTATCTGGTGATGCATAATTCTCTTATTGATATGTACTCAAAATGTGGAAGCCTCGAATATGCACGTCGGGTTTTCGATAGAATGCCTGAAAAATCTGTAATTAGCTGGAATGCCATGCTTGTGGGGTATGGCAAGCATGGGTTGGGAAAGGAAGTAGTTAAGCTTTTTGAAAAGATGAGACAGGGGGAAATTATGCCTGATAGTGTCACCTATTTGGCTGTTTTATCTGGTTGTAGCCATGGAGGAATGGTTTCAGAAGGTTTGGATTACTTTGACTCAATGGTTAAGAGTAGAGAGATTGAACCAGACATCGAGCACTACGGATGTGTAGTTGATCTTTTGGGTCGTGGAGGAAGCCCAGAAAAAGCTTTTGATTTCATTCAGCAAATGCCTTTCAAACCCACTTCAGCTTTGTGGGGTTCACTTCTTGGGGCTTGTCGGGTCCATTCCAATGTGGAAATAGGGGAAATTGCAGCTCGAAAACTATTTGAGATTGAGCCTCAAAATGCCGGAAATTATGTTATTCTCTCAAACATTTATGCAGCTTCAGGTAGATGGGAAGACATGATAACAGTGAGGAAATCCATGAAGGAAAATACTGTTAAAAAGGAGCCCGGAAAAAGCTTTATAAAGATTAACAGGACTCTTCATACATTTTATGCATGGGATAAGTGCCATCCAAATAAAGATGAAATATATGAGATGTTGGGAAAGCTATATGTGAAGATTAAAGAAGTTGGGTATGTGCCTGATTTAAGCTGTGTGCTTCATGATGTTGATGATGAACAAAAGGAGCGTTTGCTTATGGGCCATAGTGAGAAATTGGCCATTACCTTTGGCTTGATCAGAACTCCTCACGGAATGCCTATTCAGATAGTAAAGAATCTTCGTATTTGTGCTGATTGCCACAATACCATGAAGTATATAACTAAGGTTTATGGTCGAGAAATTTCTCTCAGAGATAGTAATCGGTTCCATCGGGTTGTGGATGGAGTTTGCTCTTGTGGGGATTATTGGTAAGCCCATTATATATTGTGGATGGCATCTGCTTTACTGGAGTCTTACTTGAATGGGAAAGTTTTCCATTATACAATGGACTTTGGATAACCATAGTTCATTAGAGGCATAAACTTCCATATGAAGTGAAGGATGATAATGGAGAAAGAGTGTGCTCCACTATTGGTCATGTCTGCTCTAGTGCACTCTCCTTTATCTCCATCACCATCCATCATTTTATTGGACAGTGATCATTACCGAGGACTATTTTCCATGGTTTTCCATAGTGCTCTAAATTATAGTATCTTTCCCATAAGAGTTTCTCAAAAGAACTGTGCATGCTTCATGGATCAGTGACTGGATAGTTATATTTATATCGACCCAGCTTGGGGGCATCAAAATGGAGTCTTGCGGGAACAACAGAAATTTCATATGAGAGTCCATAATTTCTTGTGATTTGAAGGAGATGGGTATCTGTTGTTACCATACAATACACAGGAAATTTTATCATTTTATGTCAAGTGCAACATAAAGACACCAAACATAGACATCTATAAAAAACTGCAAAACAGATCATTCCACTGCTTCTACGTACCCTCGCTTAAAATATGGGACTAAGCAGGTGCCAAAATGGAATGACATGAAGGATGTCGTCTGTTTGTTTTGATTCTATTATTTGAGGCAATGGAAGAACAGAACAGTTGAGATATTTCGCTGAGAACTTCAGAGATCAAGAGATGGTAATGAAGAGGAATTGGGAAGATATTTGGATGCAAGGAAACTATTTTACACGAATTTCAGGAAATGTGAGGATTATGCATAGGCATAAAACATTGCTATGTCATGGATGATTTGTCTATGGCAGGGACACATTATGGATATCTTCTCATAGGGGCATTTGAATTGTCTATTTTTTGTTTACATTTTAACTCTGTTTTGTGAATATTTATTCTCTCAAAAGAAAAGCTTTCCTGTAGGTTCAAAATTCAGCCATGAACTGCTCACAAGGGAAGCCTTTTTTAGTTTTAAAGGAAGTTTTAGTGTGATATCTGTATTTTAGATGAGGGCGAATTTTAGTGAAGTATGTTTTATTGTAACTTTTCATGGATGAAATGAAAACCAGGATTAATATTAAAATATATGGAGCTCTTGTTGTTACAGAAAAATTAATTTGCATCTTAGAAGTTATTGAAATCGAATTCAGATGTAGAGGAAAAAGGTATTCTTGTCTAGAGAAGTAGTTGGTTACTCATACATTCACCTAGTATTTTTTATTGAGGTTGCCTTGGCCGTCTGTGCTCGGAGTGTATGATATATCTCTGATACCTAGTAGGGAGGTAAATATCTACAAAGCAGACAATACTGTGTTGAAAGAATAGTGTGAGGATTATTGTCCTAGAACAGGCTGCTTCCTCTCTAGGAAAGTATTTTAGGGATCCAAAATTTTGTATCTCAGTTACTTTCTGTAAGCATCTTTATTTTGGCAGTCACTGGGGTATCACATCGACTTATCAGTAAGATAAGTAATACAGCGACTACCATCTTTGTTGGGCTATAGCATAGGTAGTACTTTAATAGGCGTTTGAAAAGCCCAGCCTGTGATATAAATTAAATAGGCCGACATTCTCAGCCATGTTTTTGATATTCCCAACAAAATAAGAGTGGAAATATCAATAATGCGACAGGTGAGAATTGCCACTCAACCTTTGGGGTGGGAATTTAGAAAACTGAGGGTTAGATATCGTGGTTCCTGACTCAACAGTACTTTCAAAACCATCTTGTGATGTTTGCCTCAATCCATATGCTCTCATCCTATTTTGATGTTGCAATACTCATGCAGCCCCCATTCATTGTTATGCTCATCATTGTTTACAGGCTTAAAAACAAATGCATTAGAACAAAAGAATTTTATTTGAAATGAGTATGTGAGCACAGTCTAGATTCATGGATATTAGGATTTTAGTAGATAGTAAGTTATTGCTAGCTGAATTGCGCTAGTGATTAATCACATAGTTCTTTGAGCAGCTTTGCAGCCCAGAATTCATGTGGAACCTGGGATGATAACATTTGACACTTGGCTCATCGACTTTATTTTGTTGCGAGATATTTGGACAAGATTTTTGTTCACTATTTTTCTGCAAAAATATACTTTTGATAATCATTAGACAAGTATTCTCTCCCCAAATAAAGATAAAATAGTTTTATTTTCTTATAAAAGGTTTTTTTTCTTTTCTTCTGTCCTTATCAAAAAGATTTTTTATTGCATAATAGAATGTCTCACGAGAATTTAACTAGAAAATTCTCTGGTGTTTGAGGTCAACCTAGAAAGGAAACACCAAAAACTTTATCGATAATATATCTGATAGAAATATGGTTTGGATTTTGGAAGAGAATAGATTGTTTGACAGGTTAACCGTGAATGACTTAGCAAGATAAAGCTAATGGAGCTAACTTGAGACCATTATTCCTGACTTAGTGAAACAATGGTAATGCAGCTATCTTGAGACTAGGGTAGATCCATCAATTGTGTCAATAGATCTAATTTCATGGATTGCTTTGTGAATAATATGAGAAGATATCACTCTGATTCATATGGGTCAGTGGCCCTAATGCCAACAACTATGCGAACGTCTTATAGGAAGAGCTATAAGACCATTCCCTTTTGGAAAGAAGGTCACAAACACCTAAGCCATTAGATGTAAAATCAGGCAACTGAGGTGTGTCATTTTTTGCGCGCACATATACACACGCACACAAAGAAGGACAAATTCTCAAACTTCAAGCGATGGTACAACCCCAACTGTCTAATTTCACGTTGAAGATTAGCGGTGATTGTAACCTTTCATTGTACAAGATTAACCTTTCACTATACACGATAAACAATCTTATCATATACCTTTCCACTAGGTGAAAACTTTCTAAAAGGGCCAGTTAGCATGTATAAATTGGAATATTACTAAATGAACAAATCAAACATGATCCTCATGTTGATACTTACTACTTGGCCCAAAATCAATATATTAAAATCAATGGATGTCAAATCTACCCATTTTATTTCTTATAGGTGAGAAAAAGTGCTTTTAGTCCAGCCAAGCGTTTACTATATTTTTTTGAAGGCGTTAGGTGGTGTAAGTGGGAATGGAAACCTAAATGTGGTAACTAGGGTGTGTGGGTGCTACCACTAAGACTTCAACCCTTTCCCAAAAGGGTTTATATATTACATGTTTAGATTGTGATTATCATTTAACACTTTAGTCAACATTTGATGAGTCCAAGTTAGGCATTGAAAAAAAATTAATCCCAAATAAGTGTTGTTCTTGTTTTATCTTAACGGCCTCATATTCCAATCTATAAAACATAGATGCAAATGTTCAAAGTATCTATCGATGAACCAGGAATTGGTCCAATTTAAGGACTCACTTGGTTTTGTTAGAGAACAGCGCTGTCGGGAAATCTTACAATTTAGATTGGGCTAACCCCCTTGTTCCAACCTAATATACTTTTCAATATTTTTATTTTCAATTTACTTTAGAATATAAATAATATTTTAATATTCTCCAGATGGATGGGAAAGTCACCAATCTGGATTGACCCAATAACCGACCTGTTCATCCAGCCAATCTGGGTTTTCAAAATAGAACCATGACCAAATGTTAGCAAAAAGGATTGTTCCATTGTAAAAAAAACCTCTAAAATTGGATCTTGACAACTATTGGAAAGAAAAATTCCTGATATTTCATACCATAAAATCAATTTTTTATAATACATTATTCGGGCTATTCGTCTTCAAGTATTCATGGTCATATTGATATAGATCATTATGGATGTATATGTATATATCTCTTGATAAGATTAGGTGTCTAGAAGATAGAGACCAAGTTACTTGGTCATCAAGTTATCATACCATAATTATCTCTTCTAATTGTGTGATTGTCCTCTATATATAGAGATACTTCTTGATGTAAAGATTCTTGATGTAAAGATTCATCCAATATAATATATAGATACTTCTTGATGTAAAGATTCTTGATGTAAAGATTCATCCAATATAATGAAGATATAACCGGTTGGGGTTTTAAATCTATGGACATAAGGGTTCGGCCTGAACCATGTAAATATTCGCTTCCCCTTCTATGTTCCCACAAATTCTGACAAAAATATCATTGGAAAACAAGTCACCAAGTTTTTTTTCTCTTTGATTATAAAATGAAGCTCCAAACATAATATAGATACGGTGGATTTGTGAACTTTTCTTTGCATAGTAGTTAGACTGAGCAAGAATCTGGAGAGCGGTTACATTAGAGATGTTGACTTCATCTCTACTCATCTCATCTCCATCTCTCCTATACTCTCCCCCTTAAGTTGGGTGTGGTTGCGAAGAAACACCCAACTTGCAAAATACAATTTTTTTCTTTTTGCTCTTTTGAGTACAATCTTCTAAAAAATAATGTGAATGAAATTGGGCTTCTAGACAATAGCCCACATCTTAAAAAAAAATACCACCCTCTTTTTTTCTTTTTTTTTTGTGGCCAAGCCCAAAACGAATAGGCTGAACATTCTGAGCTGAAAAGCCCGGTCTCCTTGAAGATTGGAGGGATTTGATGGCGGTGGTGCTGAAAAGTCCTCTCTCTCTACAACTTGCATTTCCTTGGAGAAGAAACTCTTTCTTCATCAGAAACACTTGGAGATAAGAGTCGCTTTATTATCAATCCCTTGAAAGCCTTAATTGATAAAAATCTCTCTCTCTCTTGACCAATCCCAAATTGCGAAAGTCGTTCTGCGTTTTTCACACAGCCTTATCAAGCCACTTTCTCTCTCTATAACTCTCTCGTTTATCTCAAAAATACATAATTGAAGGCACTAAGGTTTCGTTGAAGAGGCTGGATATGGAGTATGTTGATGTTCAAACCCCTATTGAAGAGACAATTAGGGCTATGAATTATGTGATTAACAATTAGAGCTATGAATTATGTGATTGACAATTAGGGCTAAGAATTATGGAACGAGTGAGTGGAAGCTCGAGGATAGCTACACCTTGGCCTATCCAAAAGGAGTCGACGCTGCACCTTGTCCTCTGATTGAGGGGAGGCATGCATCCAAAAGGTGTCGACACTTCACCTTGTCCTCTGATTAAGAAGAGGCATACAAATTGAAAAGCAGACTGGTTGCCTTGACTCGTAGCTAGATGAGATTGAGCAAGGGGTTTTTGGAGGGCCGACCGGTGCTTTCGCGGGGCACAAGGTCAACAAGAAGAACTCTCGCGGGGCACGAGGTCAACAAGAAGAATGTTATGATATCATGTTAGAATTTGTGGGAACATAGAAGGGAGAGAGAATATTTACGTGTTCAAGCCGAACCCTTACGTCCACGGATCCAAAGCCCCAGCCAGCTATATCTTCATTATATTGGATGAATCGTTACATCAAGAAGTACCTCTATATATAGAGGACAATCACACAATTAGAAGAGATAATTATGGTATGATAACTGGATGACCAAGTAACTTGGTCTCTATCTTCTAGATACCTAACCTTATCAAGACATATATACATATACATCCATAATGATGTATATCAATATGAACCCAAGATATTCATATTCCAACAATTTTGTGTTTAAATTCATTCTCCAATGGAGTTTTTAAGGAGTGTCGTTTGTATAAGGTGGCAACCTAATTGTAAAAGTAAGATTGTTGTATAAGGTGGCAACCTTAATTGTGGAAGTAAGGTATTTTTGTTGAATCGTAAAAGTTTAGAACATCTTTTAAGATGGTGTTAAATCTAAAATGTCCGAGTAGATTATTGCAACTCTACTTATGGTACCTTATACATAATTTTTTTTGGTTTTAAGATTGGGCGTTAGTTTGTATTGCAAGGCCATAACTGCACCCACCTTTAAAAACTAGGGGTGGCAATGCGGGTCCAGACCCGAACATATTTGGGTCTAGGTTTTGGACTCGGATCTGACCGGTCAGGTCCAAAAGTTGGACGCATACCCATACCTGTTAGTCGGGTCTCGAGTTTGGTAAGGGGTCCATTGCCACCCATCATAGACCCAAATTATTGGCAAAAGGTCATAATCACCAGCAATTAGATTTCAAGCCATCTTATTTATCGTTTAATAGTTAAAGATGATTATGAGTTTTTATTGTATATAATCCTTAATATACCCTAATTGAAATATTTTATTTCCAACAGTTTATGGGTACGGGTTGGGTCCAACTGGACCCAGAACCATACGCAAATAGTGTTCGGGTTCAGGTTTTGGACCCGAATCCACTCCATCGGATCTAAATGTTGGACCCATATCCTAGACGATTACCCGATGGGTCTTGGGTGGGGTCCCGGTCCATTGCCACCCCTATCAAACACACTACTCGTAAAAGACTAAGGGCATGTATATTGTGCTCCCATCGGAGCATAATTTATTCTACTCCCTCAGCTAGAAGACTTGCTTGGGTAAAGAGGGAGGATTGTTAAGTGGCGGCCACCGTAAAACTTTGCCACAACTTTCTATGAAACTTGAATCTACAATGAAACGTCGGGCTGTCAAGAAACAACATACCCATATGATGAGTTAGCTGAGATGTGAATGTTGAGATAGATGAGCAGCACGTCAATAAAGATAGAATTCGGATTGGATATATTCGAGGGAACTTAAGGGTGGCTCCAATAGGTGGGTTAGCCATGTACAACGCAGACCCAAGACAACAAACGTCAGGAGGTGTGACTTGGTTCAAGTAGAAGGCTCTAAAGCGGCAAGTAGAAGGCCCAAAAAGACTCGAGTAGAAATAGTGAGAAAATGTATGAGGAGTTATTGTCTCATTGAGGATGTGATCCTTGATAAAGTAGAATGGCGGAACATGATTCGTGTAGTCAACCCAAAATAATTGAGAGGAGGTTCTCATGATGATAATAGTTAGAATACCTACTTGGGAGGATTTTTTTAATATGAGATTTTAGGAACTACTTAAAAATTACTAGATGATAATTTTAAAAAAAATTAAAAATTAAAAATTCTAACACTTACTATCTAAAAATTGGATGGTTGCTATTCAATTTTGAGATATTATTTTTTCCAAGTGTATAGAGGGTACCGTTAGACTTTCATTTATTTATTGAGACTAATCCATAGGTTGAGGATGTTGCATCCCTAAATTTTACATTCCTAAAAACTAATTTTTGGTGAGGTTTACCCGGGGGAGTAAATGCGCATTCTACCCCCGAGGGAGTAGACTATCTTTTGGCAAAGACTGAAGGCCATCCCCAAATGGCTGACCCTCGAACTCTCAACAAGGAGAAAGAGGCTCAGAAGAAAGAGTTTTATCAGAACCATCGGAAAAGGAAGGATTTTTAGAGAGAGAAAATGTCATCTCTCAAGGGCTTATTGAGCTCAGGCATGCTTAGAAAGAGGCTGAATCTCTACAATCGCATCAGAGGAGGAGACCATGGCCATGGCCATGGCCATGGAGAGAGTAGATGGAGCAGTCAAGGAACGCAGGAGAGGCGTAATGGCTACTTATTCAACAGGACTCCTCCACCTCCTGGTCAATCAAGGGAATGGGAGGATTGGGAGCTCCCCTACTATGTTACTGCGTTTCTCACTGTTGTGATTCTCGGAATCGGGCTCAATGCTAAGCCTGATCTCACTCTTGAGACATGGGCTCACAAAAAAGCCGTAGAACGCCTTGAGGCTCAGGGAATTTCTGTTCCCGAGGACGCAAAATGAAGCCCCTAATGGTACTCCTCCATCTCTCTAGCTCTTTCTGTCTCTGTAGACCTCCCTCTCTCTCTCTCTCTATATATATCTCTCGCTCTCTGTTTTGTTTTGTGCTGATTTTTGGCGTTGCGAGAGAACAATTCATGTAATTGTCTTAATTTAGGGTTTGTGAGCCTGTTAGAGCTTGGTGTGATGAGTCCCCAAAGCCCAGAAGAACACTGAGGCCCTTGGCATCTCTGATCGTCACCTAATACATACTCTTTGTTTCTCGCTCTCCCTTTTCTTTTTTGATGCAAGATCGATGTGATTCTGGTGATTCAGAATTTTCAAGGTGGTTAGGAATTGGCATGGTGTCTGTAATGTTAATAAAGTTAAACTGTGAATCAACCGTGAATCTGACTTGTCTTAGTGATGTTGCATGCTTCTCGGATGCATCCTTTGTTGGCATAACGCAATGATTTTTTACTTATGCATACGGCTTGAAGACCTTTTTAATCTCTTGTGTTTTCCTTTGATTTGATTTTTTTTCTTTTCTTTTGTTTCTCTCAATGGAGGGGATCGGTCATTTCCCATTAATTATGGTGTTGAATATGAAAATCGGTTCTCTAGTTAACTCCTGACGATGTAGTGAGAAATTTCTAATATTTCGATATTATGGTACTTTATGATTGGGGGGTTGTAAAAATTCCTTTTTTTTTTATTTGCAGTTTGAAATTGAATAGAGCAACTGCACCTCCCTTCAGTTTTGTTGAACTTTGCCTGCCATAACGTACAAATTCCTCATTCTGTTATCAATAATGCAAAGGGAAAATGACTTTGCCGTTCAAGCATAAGCAACTAGTGGGCATTTATGCGCAAAAAATCTCAGGAAGTGCATCTAGAAATTATATTTAAAAATGACTTAATGTAGGAGTGAAATTTGTTCACATGATCGATTGACCAATAAATTTCTGGTAGTAGAAAATTGACCAATTGAACAAGGTGCAAAAGTGAACCAACTTCCACAAGATTAAAGTTGCAATAACTTATCTTCCTTCTTCTTAAATGAACCAAGGTCACCTTCATTGGTGTTGGTTCCCAGGAGGCACTTTTGTCTTGGTTAAAGTTTGATTGACACGTATTTTTAATATTTTTTCTTAGCCAAACAGCTATTGAGGTAATATTTTAAGATCCTACCCATTCTTCCTCTTGTTAGTGATGTAGTTTTACCAAAACTTTGATCAATTGGTATACTAGAACCCCCAATTATAGAATATCTATCAAAGATCCTCACTGAGATGTGAGTAGAAAGAAAAGAAATTAGTGGGTTTCCAAATCACATAATTGATGTGGAAGCTCCTTTTTTTTGGGATATGAAAAATTGTTGTTCTTAGCTTTATTTGCATGACAATCTAGAGAGTAGTTCAGTATGGGCATATATATAGTTTTTGGATATTTTCATGCTCATCTCTCACAGAGAGTTATGCTTTTGAATTTAAGCATGATAATGCTGAAGCAATGAGACAGTTCCCACACAAGTGGGCATTGGGGTTTGTGGGTTAGGGCTAGTGAAACTTGCGTTTGGATTTATAGGTTTATGAATGGGTTTAAGATTAGGTTTTCATAAGTTGCATACACCGCATGAATCCTGATTGATGAAGTTAACTAGTATCTTGTAGGGTCATTCTGAACTTAAGTTTACTTACATGTCGTAATGCACCAACAATTACTCTGAGTTCAACTTCCATTATGATGACTAACCTTCACCTTTTTTCTCTCTATATATTAAGTCTCCTCCAGCATTGTTAAGATTATATGATCTGACCCTTTAAGTGGTCAGTGATGCCTTTATAAGTGTAACAAAGCAAGAAAGCTCTTTGTATAGTGGTGGCAGTTATATTTGTTGGAGACTTAAAGAACTAGAATTGACCATTGTACTGCAAATATGTTCTCAAATGTGTTTCTATGGCCTTGCTTCCAAATGTAAACTTATTACGTGGAGGTCACTGTTGGCTACCAGCTTTAAACAAATAAATGCACAGATTTTTTTGCATGAGTAGTTTGGCAGCAAATTTGTGAGATATATCCATTAGGTGAAAACCGTGAAATTAGCATAGTTTTGTTTTTGTATCTTTCTGCATCAAGAGTCTGACCAAGTACAAGCGTAATAATGTCCTCTTGAAGTGGATTTCGAATATTTGCTTCTTGCCGTGACATACCAAGCTAAAAACGAAATATATACATTTCTTTTGGGACTTGTAGGTTTTGCAACTCATTCATAGTAAAGGGACAGTGATTATTTTGAATTGGGGGAACAAGATGGTAGGTTGTGTGCTGTAGTGCTGTGTCCTTGTTTGTGGGGGACCATAGGAATGAGGATACATCAAATTTTTGTAGTTGTTGAGTAGGCTGGATGAGATGTCTATCCCGGGAGATGGAATCAATAGGATGTGGGAACGTGTAGGATTGTTCTTGTTCAAATTTGTGAGATATATCCATTAGGTGAAAACTGTGAAATTAGCATAGTTTTGTTTTTGTATCTTTCTGCGTCAAGAGTCTGACCAAGTGCAGGCGTAACATTGTCTTCTTGAAGTGGATTTCGAATATTTGTTTCTTGCCGTGACATTCAAAGCTAAAAAAACAATCTATACATTTCTTTTGGGACTTGTAGGTTTTGCAACTCATTCATAGGAAAGGGACAGTGATTATTTTGAATTGGGGGAACAAGATGGTGGGTTGTGTGCTGTTGTGCTGTGTCCTTGTTTGTGGGGGACTATAGGAATGAGGATACATCAAATTTTTTTAGTTGTTGGGAGATGGAATCATTAGGATGTGGGAACGTGTAGGATTGTTCTTGTTCAAGTCGTTCTACAATTTGCAAGGTTGGCGAGCCAAATTTTCTCTTGGTTGTTGGCAGCCTCCATATGGGGGTGGTTGCCCTTTCATTAAATTATTGACAAGATTTTGACAGGAAATGATCATTTCCTTTCATGAGTTGGGAACTCGGGATACAAACAGAATTACTTATTGCAGCTAGCTTGTGGTGTATGCAAAGGGCTTGAGCTCTTACCTCTACACACCTTTTTTCTTTTGATAAGTAACTGAGAAGGAAAGAACCAAAATACGTATATGGGGTTATGAAATTTAGATGCACAAACGGCTATCGTATGAACATGCCTCTACAAAATTGTGACTCAGAGGGTAAAGGGGAAGGGTGGAGACTGAGGTTGGGTGTTAAGGAGTGTGGAACGATTCACCCCATCTTTGGCTTGGTGATCAGCCATTGAGTTGGCTTCTCACCATTTTTGCTTGAGTGAGATTGAGAGGCCTTGGGATAATTGAGAAATTTCTCAAAGAGGTTCTTGGGCCTCCTTCAGCAGGGTTCTATTTCCTGGCCCTGGAGATAATATTTTGGAATCACCCATGAGCCAAGCCCCATATTGTGTTGAAACAGCTGCATGCCAACTAGTAGGGCCTTGGGCCTGGCAAATGAGACTTGTAAGGGTCCTGAAAACTCCCACAAGGAAGATATTGGGGTCAACTGTGGTAAGCTCTGAATGATTTGGTTCCGATGAGTAATGAAGTTTGTTGTCAAAAGGTATTTTTATTCCTTTCATGGACTTGTCCAAAAATAACCGTTGATTGGTATGATTGACGAGGGTGGAGATTTGGGTTTGTGAGGTCTTGATGATATAGTGATTTCTCTCGAGCCAGATGGACCAAATGGTCTCTTAAATGGTCAGATGTCAAACTATAATACCTGCCTGCGGTGGGTAGGGGAAGGGAGAAGTGGAGTTTGAAAAGATTTGGAGCAGTTTGAGGGATGACCGACATGTAAAAACGTTGTTGGAAGAAAGGCCAAAAACAGATGGGAGATGGATTCCTCTTCCGAGCTGCACATGATGCATCTATTGGCCGATTGGAACACTGTTTTTTTGAGGTGATCGATGGTTAAGGTCTTTTCTGAAATTGCGATCCAACCAAAGGCTTGGACATTGAGGGGGGCATAAGGGAGCCAGTCTTCAATGGCTGTGTTTTGAGCAAGAACCATATGGGAGATGACCTTGTAGAAAGAGGAGACTGATGACATACCTTTCGGGTAGGGGTCCAGATAATCCTGTCATGTCCTTGCCTCAAAATGAAAAAATAATGTAGCAACTTGATCAGGGAGGAGTGTTGAAAACCTCATTTTTGTTGAGGTTGTGATGAAGTTAGAAATCCATTAGAAGTCTTGCTCTCTGAGAGTTCGATGTAAGTGGTGACCTGCCTATCAAGAGCCTAGTTGAAGAGGGTTGGAAACGATGCATTTTTTTTTTTGAATTAGTTGATTATTGTATTAGTAAGTATAAAGAGATACAAACAGTAGTGGACACAAAAAATAGGCTAACCCAGTAAATGGGTGCCCTGTACAAAAAGCCATAGGGAAAAATGCTCTACACCAAAAGCCAGGAAGAAATGTGGGATGCAGCCTTAAAATACGCCTTAGGAATGTGGGTAGGAAATGATGCATTTGAAGAAAACCAAATCCGAAGAGAACAAAGTCTCATGGACCAATATGCTACTATCGAGGATAGTTTAGAGATATCATACATATGATCAGTGACATCAGGATTAGCTGAATTATTGTGTTATGTGTATTATGGAGAGTGGAGGAAAATCATTGATCTTCCTGTGCATGGAGATTCAATGAGGGTAACCTAGAGATTTTTTTTTAGATACTTTTGCCGTTTCTGGTTGATTTCAACAATGGTTACCTTCTGAATGCACCTGGGATGGACTCTCTATCATTGTTTATCTCCCAATGAAATAATCTTTAGAGGTAATTTTCAGAGGTATCTATCACTTTGTATGGACTCCCAATCATACCATTTATCTCCCAATGTGATTGGGAGTTCATACCAAGTCAGAGTTTTTGGAGTCTATAACAATGGTTACCTCCGGCATGCGCTTGGTATGTGTTCCCAATCAACAATGGTTACCTCGAATCCACAGACTCTGTTGGACAATTCTTAGGATCCTACTCATTTGCTCTCCAAAACCAGTTTCAGACCATAGACAGTCCTGGATTCTGCCTCTGGTCAACTGCCAAGTACGTTTAGATTTGTGCTCTCATGGCTAGAGGAACCTAACTTTCTTGACCTTGTCAGACAATGGTGGAATTCGTTTTCAGCCCTGGGTGTGCTGGATTCTGCCTCCAGAAAAAAAAATTCAGCGGTTAAAGCACTCTCTCAAACAATGGAGCAGGCAGCTCCCTGGCTCTTTAGGGTTGTCAAAAGAAGCAATCTTGAATTGAAATCAAGGACATTGACTCCATTTAGGAATCCAGGGACCTATTTTAGGAATGAAAAAAAAAAAGCAACCGAAGAACTAGAGCCAAAATCGATAACCAATACCTTCTTGAGAAAGAGGAGATCGGTTGGTATTAGCTTTCCAGGGTGAAATTGCTTAAGTTAAGAATTTGAAATACTGGTTTCTTTGACGAAATTGCTAATCGTAGGAGTGGGT